GTGCGCTCGCCGGAGACTGTGCTGGCCGACCCAGGCCAGTGGGGGCTTCGCAGCTGCTGGGGAAGCCCGGGCTGTGGTTCCCCGGAGTTTGGCCAGCAGCCGCAGGAAGCCAGCTCCGGGCCGAGGGGGTCTCCCTCCCTGCTTTTGCTGCCCAGTACAAGCGCCTGAAGGTGCTCCCTCCCCTGTGGCTGGAGCACGGAGCGGGCTTGAGGCGGCCTGTCCCCCAGTGCTCAGCCACCCACAACTGGGCATCCCGGGTGGGGTGGGGGAAAGCGGGGCGCTGCCTGTCTTGCCCTGGCCCAGCAAGGCTCTTCGGGGTAGTTAACTCCCTACTGAGGGAAAGGGACCTCAGGCACGCCCCCTCCCCCGCCATCTGCAGAGCTTTCCTAAGTAGAACGCACCCGTCCTGGCAGGCCAGTGGCCTCCACCGAGGTGGGGAGATAGTCACAAGGGATCTGGAGAGGCAGGAGTGGTGAATGGGGTGGGGTGCTCCCCCCATGTCCCAGTAGCCCATCATCTACTCATCCCATTTGCTGTCCCCCTCCACGCACCCACAGTCTCTCAGGAATGGGCATGTGGGGGTCACTCGGCTGCTGTTCTGGTCCTGACCAGCTTTCTCTTTGCACCCCTTGCAGGATTAAGGTGCCTGCCCCATCGAGTGGGCCCTGCAACTCTTTCCAGGCACCCTCCAAAGGAGCTCCAGGGGGCAGCTGAGGATGGGGCCGCTTGCCCTTCTGTTGCTGCTGCTGCCGCCGCTGCTTTGGCACCTGGGCCAGGGCACGGCAGTGCCAGACACTCTGGACTTGCAGGTCGATGAGGAGATGCCCGCAGGCACCATCATTGGGGACATCAGTGCAGGCCTGCCCGCTGGCACCACCAGCTATATGTACTTCATCTCTGCCCAGGAGGGCAGCGGTGTTACCACAGATCTTGACATTGACGAGAACACGGGCATCATCAAGACAGCAGGTGTGCTGGACCGTGAAAGCCGCGACCACTACAGTTTCATTGCGGTCACCCCAGATGGTGCCACGGTGGAGGTCAACATCCAGGTCAATGATATCAATGACCACGCCCCCACCTTTTCTAAGCAACGGACCTCCCTCCTCATCCCGGAGCACACTCCCCCCGGCAGCCACTTCCCTCTGGAACCTGCCTTCGACGCAGACAGCGACCTGCTCAGCACCCAGGGCTATGCAATCAAGGGGGGGAATGTGGGCCAGGCTTTCCAGCTGGAGACGCGCCGTGGACCCAATGGGGTCTTGCACCCAGAGCTGGTCGTGAGCAGCATTCTAGACCGGGAGGCCCGGTCAGTCTTCACCTTGCTTCTCGAGGCCTATGATGGCGGATCTCCCCCAAGGAGCTCCCAAATGACGTTGGATGTTTCTGTCCAGGACATTAATGACAACGCACCGGCCTTCAACCAGAGCCGCTATCATACCCTCATCCCCGAGAACCTCCTCCCAGGGAGCAGCATTCTTCAGGTCTTCGCCTGGGATGCTGACGAGGGAGATAACGGGGCAGTGGTGTATGAGATCAACCGCCGGCAGAGCGACCCGGAGCAGTACTTCACCATCGACGCGTCCACGGGAGTAATCAAGCTCAACAAGGGGCTGGACTACGAACTGCGGAAGGTGCACGAACTGGTAGTGCAGGCCCGGGACAGGGCCGTGCACCCAGAAGTCTCCACGGCCTTTGTCACTATCCAGGTCCGGGATTACAATGACAACCAGCCCACCATGACTATTATCTTCCTCAGCGAGGATGGCTCCCCTCGCATCTCCGAAGGGGCTCAGCCTGGCCAGTTTGTGGCCCGCATTTCTGTCTCAGACCCTGACTATGGAGAATATGCCAATGTCAACGTCTCCTTGGAGGGGGGTGAAGGGAAATTTGCTCTCACTACCAAAGACAACATCATCTACTTGATCTGTGTGGATCAAATGCTCGACCGCGAAGAACGGGATTCTTATGAGCTGCGCGTGACAGCGACTGATGCTGGAACTCCCCCCCTGCGCGCTGAGTCGGCTTTCGTGCTCCAGGTGACAGATATCAACGACAATCCCCCTCTCTTCGATGCTCAGGAGTACGAGCAGAGCGTCCCCGAAGTGGTTTACCCGGGCAGCTTTGTCCTGCAAGTGACGGCTCGTGACAAAGACCAGGGGCCCAACGGGGAGATTCGTTACAGCATCCTGCACAGCCACCACACCCATTCCCACTGGTTTGCCATTGACCCCGCCACTGGCATCGTGACTACTGCTTCCGCTCTGGATTATGAGACTGACCCGCAGCCTCAGCTGACTGTGCTCGCCACAGACCGTGGCAAGCCCCCACTCTCCTCAACCACAGTGGTTCTTGTCACCCTGCAGGATGTCAACGATAACGAGCCTGTCTTCGAAAGTAATTTCTACAACGTTTCCTTGAAGGAGAATGTGTCCCCTGGTACCTGCTTCCTCCAGGTGAGCAGAGGTTGGGATGCAGTCAGGAGCAATCTTTGGGAAAACGGCAGGAGGGGTGGTCGGCTCTAGGGGCCTCCTGACAGTAGGAAAGGTAGCTTCTCACCATGTGGCTCCTACCGTTGCTGGCACAGGCAGGGGTGCACTCTGGCCCTTGGGGAAAATCATGGCAAGTTCTGTGGGGACCTGGTCTGGGTATGGCCTAGATGCTGCTTCTATGGCATGGATCTGAACCTCGTGCTCATCCAGGGAGCTGCTCAGAACAGCTGGACCATTTTGGGCTGCTGGTTCTTGTTGGAGATCCTCTGGCAGACCATGGATGTATAAACTTTGTGTTAGGTTATAGAGGAACATTGTGCTTTGGGAGCAGTGGAAAGCTCTCAGTGCTACATTCATTGCCAGCAGAATGTGGTCCCATTTGGGGGCATGGTGGCCACCGACGCGGATGGTATTCAAAGGAGGCTGGACCCAGCGAAAGCAAGGGGTCGCGATATCAGGGCTACTGCTCTTAAGGCGGCTTCCTACTCCCAAACCGCAGGGAAGGGGCGTGGCAGTGGGTGGAGCAAGGCCCCTGCCCTCCTGCCTCTTGGGAGCTTCCTGGGCACCACTGGCTCCATCAGGGCAACCCAGGGGCCCCCAGCCTCGAACCCTCCTTGCTGGTGGAAGGACCATGATAGGGCAATCTCATTCCTGCAGGGTCAGCAGCGCATCACCATTGTACCCTCTGACCTTCAGGGCATCGTTGACGCACGCCTAACCGTAAATAAATTAATAAACGCTTCATTGGTCACAAGTGTTTCAGGAAGCTTCAAGGTTTGGCTGGCCTGAGACTGGCCTATGCAAACCTTCTGTGTTGATTTTTACACAGTTTTTGGTCCTAAAATTGCCAAGGTGGCATCTTTTCTACATGCCTTTGTTAATCTTAACCTTCTTTGGTCTTTCTTGGTTTTATCTTTTCGTTTTCCTGACTGCAGAGTGTACCATGAGTATTTCTTTGTCTTTGCTTCCTGTGTTTTGCATCCAGGAAGGACGTAGGCCTGGCCCCAATCCTGTGCTTTTTGGAGTCAAATCTCTGGAACAGCTTTTTCTTTTCTTTTCTTTTCTTTTCTTTCTTGGCAGGCTGAGCGCTCGCTCACTCGCTCTCTCCCTTCTTGAGAGATTCCTTCTGCTGCTGGAGTTGGAGTTACGTGAAGGGCTTTTTGGCTTTCCTGCGTAAATCTCTCTCCAGTTCCTTGTTAGGCAGAGACCCAGCTACAACTGATGACCAGTGGTGTGGGATAAACAACAGACATGAGTGTTTTCACATCTGGGCAAGCCCACTTATCTCGGCTTAAATACCATAGTGGAGTGTTTGGTACTCCTAGAACCCCTTCCCCGAGTTGGGCTCAAGCTAGAAATGCGCTAATCAGGGCAATGCCACGGTGGTACAAAGTCTAGGAAACTGGTTCCTGACAAGTGAGAATCTGGACTGAATCTGCAAATAGCCTAACCACGGATTTCCTTTAATAAACCAGAGTCAGCTTTGCAGATGAGTGAAGCAGACGTGGCGTGTTCATCCAGTCATTGGTCCTGCTAAGATCCAGATGGGATCCCCCAAATTATAGCAGATAAAGGACTGGTCTCCTTCTGTGTTTGTAGGAAAGTCTTTCCTTTCTATCCTACAGTGGAGAGGGTTTTTTTTTTCCTGAGGGGGGATTAAGGTATCTGTGCATATTTTGTGGGGTATGTTTTTTGTGTATGGAATATATTTATGAATGGCTTTTGTGTAGTGTGTGCATATGCTCTTTTAATGGTAGAATATTCTGTCTGGTTGGAGAATATGTGCAAACAGTCCATTCTGATTCCTAGGCACAGCCACTGATTGGGTGCATCTAGATAGATTCCACTTTGGCAAAATTGTAGGTGAACTTTAAGTTTAATTCATGAAATTAAAACCTCAGAAAAAGAAGGGCACTTTCCATGGTGATAATGTGCCACATAACCCAGAATGCAGTTGATGTGTGAGATCGGCATCCCGTCTCAGTCTGCCTGAAAAGGCAAGCATGGCAGTGTTGGAGAAGGCCCTCAGCAAACTTTTTGCAGTCTTCCAGCTCCCCAAGATTGTACTGCCAAGATGCAGTACAGATTTCAGCAGCAGAACAAAAGGGAGGTCAAAAATGTTGGAATGAGAGCACAAATGTTAGGGAGTTGAAACACCCCTATTTCCAGACTTAAACTCCCAAACCCTAAAATTCACATTCAGGGGTCAAAAACCTTCTCGGTAATATCCCTGAAGGCCTGTTGTGGCCTCCCAACTGATTGGGAAGCTCCCCCAATTTGTCCGCCCCGTTTGCTGTCCCTTCCCAGATGGCGCTTCCTCCCTTCAGCTTCCCTGGACTGATTCTTCCAACCAACCTGCCTGTGATGAGCATCCCGCTCTGGGGGCGGGGGGCATCTTTGCCGTGCTAGAACTGTCAAAGATAAGCCCAAGATGGGGTTGCAAAAGGAATCTGGGTTTCCTTGAATTGTAGCAGGAAGTTGCAGAAGGCCCATATCTGCCAGATAATTCTCCCTGAAATCAGTTTACCGATTCCCAGGGATAACAGGAAGTCAAATGGCAAAAGGACCCAGCAAAATAAGGAGACTACAGTGCAGTGCTAGACCAATATGGGGGTGCTCTGTGCTTTGGAGGCAAAGCTTTCAGAGCGAGCTTGCTCATTGTACCCATCTGCTGCTCCTTAAGGAAACCCCAGTAGCCACCCCCAGAAAATACACCCTTGTATTAGCCCTCGTATTAAAGAGGCCCCAACAGCATGTCTGAAGTGCCTTGTCATGCCCTCTTGGTGCCTCCTGAATGGAAATGCACATTTTCCGGGGATGACACAGCTACTGTGCAAGCAAGCCCAGGAAAGGCCCTGACAGGCGGACCCCGGAGCATCGTTTGCCTTGGGACGTGAAGCACTGCACATCCCTGCCGCAACGGGACCAGTGAAATCCATGAAGCTAGGCTAGCGTTAGGCTAGCCAGATAACCAAATGCAAGATTAAATGAGATGACCGTCTAAAGAGCATTCATCGTTTTAGCATTTCCAGCCTCCAGAGAAGGATCCTCTGGCCGAGTTTGCGCGGCACCCCCCTCCCCGCCGAGTCCGCACTTTTGAACCGTTTCTCAAAAGGGAGGTGTTTGAGCTCCCTGATTATTTTGGTTTGGTTTATTTATTTATATTTATTTATCCAATTTATATAGCCGCCCATCTCATCGAGTGACTCTGGGTGGCAAACAGAATTGAAATAGAATAAAAACAATAACAAACCTTGTAAAAGTTAAAATACAGGCAGTCGAGAAACAACAACCCAAATGACTAACACAACCCCGAAGCACTTTTGAAAGGTGGCCAGCTGCATATTAAAATTCCTTCCCCCCCCCCCCCAGCAACATGGAAGGACAGCTTCCGGGAATTTTGAGAGTGCCATCCCCCGTGGTGCCAGGAATACAGGGGTCACACCTGCTTCAGGAGGGAGGTTCCATTAAGGTTTTGTGCTGCTGACCCGCCACCTCTGGGCTGAATGAAGAGGGGTCCTCTGCAGGGGGCTGGGTCAGCCTGGAGCCCAGAAGGATCAGAGCCTTCGCCTCGAGTTCCTCCTCTTCAGTGATGTGTCTTCTGGGTCCGGAGAGATTCACGCCCGCGGCCGCAGGGAACGTGTCTCTCGGCTGAGCGTGGCCGCTGTTTGATTTCTCCCAGGGCAGCTTCCCTTCCTGACCCAGCTGTGCAGGCCATCCGCTTCCTGGCTGACCCCCAAGGCCAACAGCCCTGCAGCTGGAAACCACCACTTCCCGAAATAGCCCAGCTGGCCGAGCCTTAGCTGCTTTTAGCCACTCGATGTCTGTGCCAGGCCCAAGGAGGGCAGCTGCATGATCTGCTGAGCAGGGAGTCTGCGTGGGTTTGCTGACCACACTGGCGCCAGTGCTCCCGTCATTCTTGGGTCTGAACCACAGCCAGATGTTGAGCTGCGGCTTTGTGCACATCTGTAGAATGGGGCCTCTTAGGCAGCCTGCCATTCAGGGCCTCTGGGATGGCCGAGGCCAGGCAGGCACACAGGCAGTATAGGAAGCAGTTCTGGAGGAAAATCTGCTCTTTGTCTTGTCCACAAAGGCTATATCTTTCTGTAAAAAAGTGGGTCTTTTGCTGGTGATTGCAGATCATAGTCAGGGGCTTATCGCTGTGGCCTAACTAAGAAGGGAAGGGAAGCTGCAGGGAATCTGGGGAAAAATGTGCTGAGCTGGAAAGAAAGAGCTCCCCTCAGAGCAATCAGTTCAGATGCTTTCAGTAGGTTTTAGTTCAGCTAAAAAACCTGAAACGTTCTGAGTGTTCTTCCATAGGCTGTCATGGAAACTGAAAACCGTCCCGTTGCCCATCTTAGGACCACAAAAGGAGATGGGTTGGTAGCCTAAGCTGAGAACTGTGTACGTAAACTATTACATCAACAGATGTAACTATTTACTGAGAACTATATACCAGTAAGCCGGCAGAAAAATTGGCCGTGGGGATTATTTTTTAATTTTTTAAAAGCTAAATAGCCCATGAACAGTAAAAAAGAAAAATAATATTTGGCTTGGCTTGAGAGTTCTTCTTCCTAACGCATACATGTTAGGTCAAGACCCTCCTCTCTTGTTCCATGGCGCAGGACACAGAATAATGGATTTAAATGTTAGGAAGGCAGATAACCCAATGAATGTTAGAAAAGGCTTTCTAACTCTAGGTGCATTTTACCAGTGGAGCCAGTTACCCAGAATGGGGGTGGGTCCCCTTTATTGAATGGGTTCGGGTGGGGATCAGACAGCTTAATGGGCCTGGGAGGCTTCCATCTGCATTCCTCAACTCAGGAGTCCAAATTTATGATCCCATGCACAGACCAGGCTTTCCCATTTGGTGATCTGCTTGCAGAACTCTAGAAACACACAAAGCAACCAGGTTTTGCCTTTCCCAGTCTAAGAGCTCAGGAATAGAAGGCTGTCTTTTGCCCTTAGTTTCCTACCTGGAAATAGGCTTTTTGAATTCCTCACAGCGAGGAGTTTTGAAAAAGCAGTAAACTTACCTTTCAAGCAGACAGCTACAGCTCTCTCCACAAAGGTGGTTCAGAAGGACCATCAGGGTCTGAATAGGCGCCTCGTTGACTCTCCCTCCACCAGTGCCCGGCAGTAGGAGACGGGATGGGTGCTGTGTCTGCTGTGGGGTTGGCTGGGGCAGTCTCTAGGGCTCCACGAGGGGGGGGCATAAATGCTCAGAAGAACTTCAGAACGCTGGAAACTTGGCTCTGAGGGCACAGCTCTTAAAACGGCTACTCCAGTTTTGAGTGTTTCATGTTTGGACGTGCAACCCTAAGAACTGAGGCCACCATCAGGGCCTCCCATTCCCAGGGGCTCTGTGAAATGAAGGGAACCCACTGAGGCCTCACGCAGGCCTGGAAGGGGAGGGCCCTAAGGTGGTGGGCTGCCATAGGAGTCCTTCTCTTTGCCAGCTTCTGGGGCAGCTTTGGGGGGGAATGCTCAGCACCCTGCTGAGAGACTTAGCAGCGTGCGGCTGGGTGGCCGCGGCCCTTCCGCGATGGGCTCAGGCGGACGGTGCCAGAAGGGACTGGCCCCGGCTTTCTCACTGCAAGTAGGCCACCCTGGACGGCTACCCTCCCTTCCCACATCGGCTCCATTCTCTGTTCCTCCCAGCCAGCAGTCGCGAGTGGAAAAGGGTGCCACGGCCCTGCAGCACCTCTGGAGCGTGGCCGCTCGCCTTCAGTGGCATTCCGCGCCGTCTGGCTCCCATCCAAGTCGTGCCTTTAAAAACCTAGAAGGGCCACTTTTGCTTGAGGAGGTGGCAGCCAGAGAGGGCCCCACCCGTGCTTCCCAAAGAGCAGCCCCACTTGTCAATTGCAGCAAGCAGCCCCTGGAGGTGGGTTACTCGGTGGGATGGGAAGTCTGGTCCCGGGCCTCCGAGGCCTTTGAATGAAACATGGGATTAGCTGTTGCTGACAGTTTTGGTGGTTCTGCAGCATCAGAACCAGGTAAGAAACCCTCCATCCCCAAATCCCAGTGGTTTCCAGCCTCTTTTGTGCACCCCTTTCCCAGACTGAAACAAGCCTGGGAAAAGGCTCCAGCCACCCCTCCTGTGCCCGCCCGGAGCAGAGACGCTTCTGGAGGCTCTGTGCTCGGCCCTCTTTAAACGGAGAGGAACGGAGAAGCAGCGGGACTTTTGCTTTCTCGGCATCACTTGGGAGGGGATCCCTCGTTGTTCTCTTCGGGGGGGGGTCTCCTTGCCTAGCTTGCAGCCCCCTGGGCTTTTCTGGTGGCTTCCCATCCCAGTACTAACCACGTCAGATCCAGCTTCCTTCCTTCCAAGACGAAAATCAGCCAGGGGCTGTCCGCCCCTGCCCAGCTTGTTTCTGATGCCCCTTCTTGTAGCTTTCTTCCCATCAGCAGGCCACAGCTCGGGGGCTTTGTTCCAAGCTGACCGCCACGGGCGTGGAAGGGGCCCGATGGACAGCCTGCAGAGTAGTGGAACTGAGGCTGGGAGAGGACGAGGGGGAAGGCCAAAGAGTTTCACTGGGGGGAGGGCAATGGGGGAGCAAAGCAGGAGCAGCAGCCTGGCCCTGGCAGCAGGAAGGTGAACGGACCAGTTGAGCCCCTCCACCCTCAGTTTTTGGACACCTCCCAGAGTTCCTGGCACCTCACCGCTTCCAGGTGATCCGAGCCCTGTGGGAAAGAGAGGAGGAGGAGGAGGAGGCGGTCTCCCCATTAGCAAAGGGGCTGGGTGTGACCCCCCCCTCCTTTTCCAACTGTCTCAATATTGGAGGGAGGGGCAAACTCCCCCCAGTATATTTCCCCCTTCCCCACCCAGTTGCAAGATGTGTGTGTAGAGAGGCTGTCCTGGCTTGGAAGGAGAGCTCTGATCCTCCGGCCGTTGTCCCAGGAGAGCGCGGCAGGGGAGGCGGGTGGACTGCAGGGAGGGTTGCTCAGCCAAGTGGAGCTGAGCCCTGGCATGCTCTGGGGCCTTCCCATCACGGTTTACTTGGACCCGCCATTCCGGTGGGTCAGCGGGGTGCTTCCACTTTTGCTACAGATCACGGCCACTGATGCTGACAGCGGCTCCTTGGGCAGCGTCTCCTACACCCTGGGCACCGGGCTCGGCAGCCTGGTGCCCTCTGCATTCCTTCTTGGGGAAGAGACCGGCCAGCTCTGCACTGCACAAGGCCTGGACCGGGACGAGGGGCCCTCTGCCTATGACTTCACGGTCACAGCCGTCGACGGGGTGAGCAGCTGCAAGGAATCGAGGCGGGAGTGGGGAACCTGGGCTTGTGGGGACCCACCAGCAGAAGGCCTTGCTGGGCGCTAGAAGGGAGGAGTGTACGGAGGGTCTGTCAGAAATCCCGAAAACTGCCAGCTGCTTCCGCACTTTCACGGCACCAGGGCAAAAGGCATCAGCCGGCACCCTTTGCGAGGCCTCTGGGCAGCGGGCGTTCCTTGGGCATCTGAGGGCGTTGCTGTTCTCAGCAGTTCTTCCAAAGGGTCTTCCCTCTCTCCCAGGGTGGGCTGAGCTCCACGGCTTACGTGAAGGTCTTTCTGGAAGACGTTAACGACAACGCACCGGCGTTCTACCCCCTGGAATACGCCGCCAGCATCAGCACCCAAAGCCAGCCTGGCTCTGCCGTCCTGCGGGTCACAGCTCACGACAAGGACGAGGGACTGCACGGGCGGGTGACCTACCGCATCGCCAATGGCAACGTGCCAACCGCTTTTGCCATCAACCCTGACACTGGTACCAGACGGCAGGGAGGGCCGGGGCGGGTGGGGGAGGCAAAGCAGCCCGTCCCCCCCCGGCGCAAGAGCCCTGGTTCCAGATCACACCCTGGCAGCTTGGCTTCTCTCCCCTCGCAGGAGTCATCTCGTTGTGGAGGCCGCTCACGGGCAAGGCCAGCCTGTTGGTGCAGCTGGAGGTGGAGGCTCAAGACGGAGGAGGGCTGGCAGCCCAGCCGGCCGCGCAGGTCAACATCAGCATTGTGGCAGGCACCGTTTCCCCTCCGAGCTTTGAGCGGGTGCAGTATTACTTCACAGTCCCAGAGGACACCCGGCCGGGCAGCAGTGTCGGATCCATCCATGCGCACAACGCCCCAGGTATCGCATCCCCAGCTTGCCCAGAGCCACGGCACAGGCCGCCTCCTTTCACCCAGAGTACAAGGGTGTCCACTTGGCAGGCAGGAGGCCCCGGGTCAGTTGGCCAAGCGCTCCCTCTGTTGGGAGCCCTAGGAAGGCAGGCTTCCCAAGGGGAGCGCACCTAAGCTGCTTTTGTGCTGGGTGCCACTTATGTTCAGATGCCAGCTCCCAGTCATCCTAAAGGAAAGGAAGGGACCTCCGTGAGCTGTGAGACTTCTGGGAGGTGGAGAGTTTGAGGCACTCTGACCCGCTCTCAGACCGGCTAACCCTGTCTGCCCCATTTGCCTCTCCAGGCCAGACTGATGCGGTGTTCTACTCCATTTCTGCGGGAGATCCCCAGGGCCACTTCTCCATCGACCCCAGCTCAGGACAGCTGCACACCAACCTGGCTCTGGACCACGAAGCACAGTCCACTTTGAGCCTGGAAGTCCAGGCCCGCAGCGGTTCCCCGCCTGCATACAGCAGCGCACGGGTGCAGATCAGCGTGTCTGACATCAACGACAACCCCCCTCGCTTCCCCTCATCTTCAGACTCAGTGTCACTGCCGGAGGGGGCGGCCCTGGGCACCGTTGTGTATACGGTGCAGGCAGAGGACCCCGACAGTGGAGCCAACGGACAGGTGCACTTCGAACTGGCGTCACGGGGAGCGACGGCCTTTGCCGTGGAGCATTTGTCAGGGAAGGTGCGGCTGATGGGGGCTCTGCAGCGGGACAACCTCAGCCCTTACAAGCTGGTCATTCTGGCACAGGATAGTGGGACCCCGCAGCTCAGTGCCACATTCACCCTCCTGGTCCACGTGCAGGCTGAAGACCAGCTTGGACCCCTCTTTGACACTCTTACCTACCGAGTGGAAGTGCGTGAGGGGGTGCCAGTGGGCACCCACTTTCTGCAAGTGAGGGCCCTGGCCCGGGAGCACAGCGCCCTCCTTGCCTACCACCTGCGTGCAGACGGCGATGCTACCAGCTTTGGTATTGCACCTGACACAGGGTGGCTGCATGTGCGGCGCACTCTTGACCGGGAGGTGCAAGAGCTGTACGTGCTGACCGTCCTGGCTGTAGCCGGAGAGGGCGAGGGGCGCCAGACAGGGACCAGCACAGTCCGGGTCACTGTCACAGATGAGAACGACAACAGTCCTCGTCTGACTGAGGAGCGCTACTTCTTCACGGTGGCAGAGAACCGGCCCGCCGGCAGCGGCGTAGGCCGGGTGACAGCCACCGACTGGGACGCTGGGCCGAACAGCCGCCTGACCTACCGCCTGGTGCCGCCTGAAGGCCATTTCCTTATCCACACCCAGACTGGTGAGAGAACTCTTGGGGGTGGGGGGGGAGAGTAAAGACGCTCCTTAGCGGACGTTTCCACTGAGAAGCGTCTTTAAGCACAGTGTGGCCTGAGTTACCTGGCCCGCTTGTTTTGCAGGTGAGCTGAGCATTCGGAAGAGCCTCGACCGGGAGCAGCAAAGCAGCTACCAGCTGCAGGTCTTGGTTCAAGACGGGGGGACGCCACCCCGCAGCACCACAGGCACAATCTACGTCACTGTGCTGGACGAGAATGACAATGCACCTGCCTTTCTGCACGTGGCTGAGGGGCGCGAGCTGTTCCTGCAGGTCAGGGGACCGAGGCCTCGGAGGCTGTGGCATCCTCTGGGCAGGGGATTCTGGGGGGAGGGGGAGCCCCGGCAGTTCTTGAGTGGGTGCTGCCAGCGGGGCAGAGGCATCGTGGAAGCCCTGAGCAGCAGGTGGGTCTCCTCGCGCACCAGCACATTACGTCCCTGAGCTTCCAGAGCCGGGAGCCCGTCTCAGTGGCCAGGAGGGCACGGAGGGAAGTCATTCATGCGCCAGTTCCGGCTCCCCACCTCCTGGCTGTCTCCCCATCAGGTCCTGGAAGATAAGCCAGGGGGGCTGCTGGTGGCTCCCTTGCAGGCCAAGGACCCGGATAAGGCTGAGAATGGAACTGTCTTCTACACGCTGTCAGGTAAATGGCCCCCAGGGAGCCTTTCGTCTCAGGCGGTCACCCCCTGCCGCTGTGAGCTGGTGAGGGAACCAGACCTAAGGGCGTCATTTCCCGCCCACCGTGATTCGTGCTTCCTTATCGTGGCCTCGTGTGCTCTGCACTTCATGAGGATGGTAGCTTGGGTGGACTAGAGCCAGAGGGAGGACTGCCGAGGGCACAAATCTCAGCCTAGAAGGAGGGGAGCCACTCCCCCGTGGGTGCGGGAAACTGGGTGGCTGGCCCTGGTGACAGGAAGCGGCCCTTCCGGTCCAACCGATGGGCCAGAAGGGTAGGATGAGATTTTGCCCCTCACCGGCAGGCCCCTTCTTCCAGGTCAAAGAACTGAGCTGCCCCCAGCCAGTCTGGACCTCTGAATGCTCACTCCAGAAATTCCCTTCAGCCCCCCTCCCAGAAAGATGGGGAGAAGGGAGTTTGGGCAGTTCCAGCTACTGAGAAGCTAACAGACCTGGCCCTAGCTGTGACAGCAAAGGAGCTGAGCATCCTGCACATGGGGAGGATTTCAATGAGAGATTCCCTTTTTAAATCAGATCACTAGAAATAAAAAGTTTCTAAGGAGAAAGGGAACATAGGAAAACAAGGGAGGCAATTATCAGAGAGCCAGGTTGGTCTCGTGGTGAAGGCCCCAGGCTAGAAAGCAGGAGGTGGTGAGTTCTAGTCCTGCCTTAGGCACGAAAGCCAGCTGGGTGGCTTTGGGCCAGTCCCTCCCTCTCAGCCCAGCTCACCTCACAGGGTTGTGGGGAACATAGGAGGAGGAAGCCATAGTAGGTTTGTTTGCCGCCTTGAGTTATTTATAAAAATAAGAAAGGCGGGATAAAGAAAAAACTATAAATAAATAAATGCAGCCAGCATGTCTCCTTGCTCTCCCACTGCTTTCTCCCTCCTTCCTTGCTTCTCGACGTGATCCTGAGTAGCAGAACCTGCAGATGAGAAGGGGGAGCATCTCTCCAGAGAAGCTGGCTGTGGCTTGGCTCCTCAGGGCCCCTCCCCTCCCCAGCGACCCCATGGTTAGAGGTCAGAAGTTGGGCCACTGTATTCAAAGACATGAATGGGGGGCAGGCAGGGGGTACGCAAGGGAAATTCCATCTGTCAGGCCTCTCAGCATGCCCCCAGTTTCCCTGGAGCTGTGGGGTGCGCTGCTGTGCCATGCGCTCACCCCCCCCCAAAATGGGAATTTGTCACAGTCCGTTGCAGTGCACGGTCCAAGGGCGAAAGGGGTGCCAGTCATGCACAGGGCAGGCTGACTGTCCTGATTGCCATGTGAGGGCTCTTGCTGTAAGTCTGTACGCAAAAGGGAGAGATGTAAACCCAGGGTTGAACTACAGGCAGCCGACAGAAGTGAACCATTGTGAAATATTTTTAAAGCTGTAAGAGCGAGCCCTTGTTAATGAGGCGGCAAGGCTGGCCCCGGGCAGGCCGCGATCTCCCTCCGCCACCTCAGGGGAGCTGTTGGGGTCCTCCAAAGGCCTCCTGGGTGGGCCAACCCAGGGAAAGATGGTCCTTCCACCTCCTATCCCTCAGGGGCACACAGGGCACGGAAGCAAATTGGCAGCCGGCGTCGAGGATGGCGTGCCGTCTGGGCTGCTCTTTTTGGCCCTTTCAGAGCCTCCCAGGGAAGCAGGTGGCCACAGCCTGGGCCACGGCCACGGTGGCAGTGAGATGCTTCGCTATGGCCAGATTGACCCCCACAAGGGCTCTGGGCCGGGGAGGGGGAGGCAGCAGCTCCCTTCTGTCTGGCGCCTTTGAAGTTGCCCATGGGCTCAAGGGGGCTGGCACAAAGCATGATCTTGCGGCACAGCCCGCTTGGTCTCGCCCCTCCTGGGCCAGCCTCCTTCATGCCCTCCCCGGCTCGGCTTTCCCGGCAGGTGCCTGGGCAGAACACTTCTCCCTGCATGTGGCTACGGGGGAACTGCGCACAGCCACCCCCCTACGGCAGGCTGACCGGGGAGAGTATCTGCTCACCGTTACGGCAAGCGACCGAGGCGCTGTCCCCCGGAGCACCACTGCCACGCTGCGCATCCAGGTACAGGCGGGG